GTTGTTATTGAATTTAATATAGGTAACGGAACTATGTTTTTATTAATCAAGTCTAGAATAAAATTAAAAACTTAAAATAACAGTATATTCTAATAATTAAATTAATTATTTAATGATTTTGGGTAGGTACTATAGAAAATGATAAAATTAAATCCAGTCATAACTGTCAAAATATAATAAAATACAATTTAACTATATACTATAAATTATATTTGAAGTATAATATACTATAAAATCGTATTATTTTCCTTTGTGGTTAAGCGTTATAGGTTAAAACGCATGAACCTACAATAATATCGTACCTTAATACATTATCATCTATTACAAAAAATGCAAATTCAAATAATATATTTTTATTAATGAAAACAGAATTTGTTATTTGTTATATTCTACGGCTTAAAAATACGAAAGATTTTACATTCAATAATATTGTGTTTAGTCCAAGGGCACTCATGGCGGGGCAAAACTGGACAAGGTATGAGCACATCCTTTCTGGAATCAAGTTATTAACTAGGTCGTGGATGAAGCAACTCAAGACTGCTTTTCATATACAATAGGCTGTATAATGATAAAATAAGATTGATATAATGTTGTTGTGTATATGCACCAAAGACTTTCTGAGAAGATTGAGTGTCAACAAAAATACATGGTTAGTTATTATTTAATATATCATTGCAAACATACAACTAGGAATAATATTTTCATTATAAACTATTTATACATTATGATTTTTTGAAATTTGAGAAATGCATGAAATAATTCTGTGAAAGTTAAGAGCATGTATGTTTAGTCACTATAAACACTGAATAACATTTATCTAGGTACAGATAAAAGATAGATATGACACATTTAGATGTAAATATGATAAAATATATACTATTAAACATTTTAATTTTTACCTGTATATAAAATAGTATGATAAAATAATTTATAAACACACACACACACACACATATATATATGCAATACATACGTAATATATTATTATGTAACTTAATAAACATAGCTTAATTTTTACTTACTAACTATGCAGTTATTCAATAATAATGATTTACAATTATTATTTTTTTTTTTAATTTAAATTTATTAAAATTTAAAAATGTGTCATAATAAATTATAATGAATTTTCATTACTTGAAATATTTTATAAGATTTGGCACCACACCAATCCACATAATAATTATTATACAGCTAATCAAATTGCAAAAATCAAGTCAAATCTATTGACAGATGAATAATACTGCGTGTATATTCAATGGAGTGGGTTTAAAACCAATGCCTGTTAAGTTGTACAAACTAAATGTGATGACATATTATGGTTATTATAATAAGTTGGCTTCACAATCATATAGTTTATTTTATAAAAAAATATATTAAATGTGTTTGTTATTGCTATGTTAATTTTATGACAGTTACATAGTTCAATGGTTAATAGTAGGTAAACGAAACTTAAATGAGACTGTTCGGTGTAAAATCAATGAAAAAGTCATAGGTTGATGTGACAATGAAATTTACTATGAAGATTGGCCATTCATGACAAGTATGTAAAATATTAGACAGTTCAGATCGATAAGGTAGTTGATTGGAAAATTGCGACACGGTAACCATCAGGAAGTTTACGAAAATGCCTCTCCCAAAATTGACTCTTTATATTATTTTTATATACATAGCGTTAAGTATATATGTATATATATATTTATTATTTTAATTTTAATATAACATACATTTTATATTATCTAATAATTCTAATATAAATGGCATTAAACTGTTTATAGTCCAGAGCTATCAGTTTTCCTACACAGACTCGACTTTATTTGGATGCTATACGTATAGCTGACCTTAGTGACCAAAAATGATATATCAATCAACTATTAGTTAACTCATTCACTTGCATACGCGTTTCCTATGTCATGGTTATTTTTTTTTACTTCCGTTTCACGGGTTCTTTTAAACATTGACAATATACAACATATGAGAATATTTTTGTGGTTATTTTAGGCACCATTGCCAGTTTGTTCCCTAGGCACTGCCAGCCATACATAAAGTTCTAATGTTATGGTTTTTTTTTTTTTTTTAAACGGCAGCAAACATTTTTAATAAGTAAGTTAATTAGTAGTATACTTTAATTATTAATCAAGTTTATTTCTATATAATGTTTGGATATCATTTTTACAAGCTCATACCATGAAATGTATTTATCATTAAATAATTATTTAACACTATTAGCATTCTATTATTTATACTTTTTGTACTTACGTGTATGTGGTAACACATGTTCATGAAGTTGGTGGAAATGAATGTCAAATCTTTTATAGTTCCGGTGTTAACTATAGCTGATAGATACAAATACTTTATTTTTTTTTTTTTTTTATGAAAACGATGCATGCCATATGTTTTTATACCACTTTTTATTAAACATTAATTCGATACACTGTAGTTAAACATCTTAATTAAATATTCTATGACCATAGTTGTAAATAATATCTACAACCCTGATTCGAAGAAATTAGTATTATAATTTATTGTTACGGGGCAAATAGGCAATACAATTATCATTAATTATTGTACCAATCTAATTTTCCCGGTATTGTTTTAAAATATAAGGTTTACTGAGAAAATATAAACCCTATTCTCAGTGGCATAAATTGAACCCAATTTCTGGTGGTGCAGAGGCATATATTCTCAATCTATAATTTCCGACACACCAAAATCCTTCCTAATAAACTATATATTTTCCTGTATATTTATTTAAATAATAAATATATTTTGAATAATCTATAAATATTTATTTAGTAACCAAATAATTATATGGTTACACAATTTTAGAATATAGATAGGGATAATAATTTAATTAATAAGGTCTAATAAAAAAAAAAAATTAATAATATTATATTGTACCTATAGTCGAAAACATATATTTAAAGCGCCAATTAATACAATATTTAGGATCAAAAGCATCTCATATTGCGTAGCGTATCACTATTATAGTCCGCCCTATCAATGTACCATATATTATGCTAATTTACTTTAATGAATCAGTGTTTTTTTTTTTTTTTTTTATGGTCTATAAATATTATACTAATAACAGTTTATGGTAATATTTTCTTTTTATTATATTTTATTAATGAAAAATATTATACTTTTAATTTTTGAGTAGATTGTTTTAAACTATAAAAACAATTTGAGGTTTGTATTGTTTTTTACTATTTATTAATATTTAGTTTCGATAAAATATTGCTGATTTCGTAGTATATTATTTTATTATTTAATATAACTTTTGTCCCTGAAAATGTAATATTTTTGACCTTTAGCTAAGTTAGATTTAAAATTATTTTTACACAACCATCAACAGTTATCATAAATGTATCGTGATATAAAAATTAATGGTGGCACTTGATAATTGATAATTCAATGTTAATAATATTTTATATGTATTTAAATTATATGTTAATTAATAAAATTAAAATATATTTATGAAATAGTTATATAAGATATAGTTCAATATTTTATATTACAGCTAAGGGAAATATTTTATTTCAAAGTCTAAAAATATGAAAACTGAAATCTAATTCATCGTGTTTATTTAGCTGTTTTGGAGAAATATTTATCAGTAAAAAAGATAGAAATGGAGAAAGGAAAAATCTAAAATTTTCAACTACAATTTGGAAATTGTATGCTAATGAATATAACCTTCCAAAAACCAATAATTCAATAGTTCTATGATGTAGTGGATTTTCATCTATATTAAATTCTATTCACATAAACATTTGGAAATTTATAAGAGCTTTATAACAAAAAAAAAAAAAAAAAAACCAAGCCGTTTGAAAATGGTTCAATATTTTACTGAAGCAGAAATCCCTAGAAAACAGAATAAATAAAATAATACTACTGAGAGAATAAATAAAATATGCAAAATACTTAATAGTAGAGTATTTGATAAATATGTATCAGAGATTACTCATAACTTATAATTATTTTTACACGTACTATTTTTTCATAATTTATCATAACTTTTGACCCACGTGTTGTTTTAAAAACGATCAATTTACCAAACGATCAATTTTATACAACCTACAACCAATTGACAGTACCCCAAATTCTTCTTCGTCAAATTTTAAAATACTAAAGGTATACATACCCCTAAGGTGTACATACATTTTTTTAAGTGTTACAAAATTCACTAAAACTACAAAGATCTTTACATTTTATCGAGTTGTTGAAAATATATACAATTTTAATAACTTAGACTTAAACGGTTTTTTTTTTTTTAATTTTATATTTTTTAAACTAAATTTATCTGATATCAGATAATAGTTAGTAAAAATAATTATGAATCGATGAAAATAAAGTAAAATAATTTAAAAAAAAGAATAGGTGGGTATAAAGAGCCCAGTTCCAGTTGTATCAAATATCTAATTTTGAATGTTTGGCTTGGTTATTGATATTTAACTAAGAGTTCGAGTAGAATACATTTTTATTTTGATGAATCAGGATAACTGAATTATCACTCATTAGTGATTATAAATCGATTATTTATATATGGAAATATAATCAATATTACCTCTAGGTTTAATAGGTTTTTATTATTTTCTAAATCACATAACTTTTATGTTAATATTAAATAATTTAAACAAGTGTTTAGTGATTTTTTGCAAAGTAACATATTTTAAAATTAACATGACGTATTAGACTCTATGTTAATTGTTTTATACAAATATTAGGTAAATGATATTGAAAATGAATTAATAATATTATTAATTATAACCTTGAAATGCATTATCATAAAAAACAACAACAGTTTATTAATGTATTTAAAAAAATTTAATAATATACTTTTTTTTATTATATGTACTTCACACCTTATTTTTGATATTTATACATATCTAATAAATTAATAAATTATACTTATTTACAGAAACTAATTTTTAAACACTAAACATAATATATACATAGATAATGTTTTGTATGAATAGAACACTCCGTATATTACTATCTCGTACATAGATATTATAAATCTATTCTGACTATTAAAATAAAATAATTGTGCTTTTTTTTTATTAATATTTAATTCGATTTTACTGTTTTTGAGGTTTTGGTGTACGTTTTTTTGTAAAACAACGAGAACAAGTATAGAAAGAGAGTTACATTTGCAAACATATAATAAATGTAAATTTTCGGAAAATCACAATTAAAACAGACTAGTCCTATATACCAGAATAAAATAATTACAAATTGAATCTGAAAATATAATTATAAAATATTATTAGTGACTGTAATGATATAATTGTATGCAAATATATAAGATGTGTCAGCCTATAAAATACTTACGATTTGCATTCTAGTCAAATATCTCTTCCACCATAAATAAGGTCGCATTTGTGGGCCCAAGGCTGCTAGGAAGTAATAGAAGTACATGATAGTGTGAATTAATGAATTGATTCCACCGGGTAATGTTGCTTGTTCGCCTAAAAATAATAATAATTGTAAGATTTCAAATAAAACAATGTTGATTTTTTAAGGTTTATTTTAAAATACGTTAATTTGAACGTAACACATTCACAGTAAGCATTTAGTTCTATATACTTAACTTTATTAAATAATAATAATAATATGAATTTGAATCCATCGTTATTTTTATTTATTATTTGTTAATTATTTATTGTTTTTGTGTATTTAACTTGATATGATGCAGTTAGTTCTTACTTCTTACATTTTATATCAGTTAGTAGATACCTTAAATTAAAATAATTACTAATTAGTTACTTATTATTTATGTATATTAAGTATTAGGTATTAAAATATTTAACAAGAATATTGATTAGCAATATTATAGTTTATTGTTATTTGGTAAGTGTTAATAATGTTTTTTTTTTTTTTTTTTCTATAAATTCTGTTTTTCACATAGGTATACGAAAGAACAAAAACATAAACAGAATAACAATTAAATTTTTATATCACATGATTAATTTTTTTCTAAGAATGTATTGATAAGAAAGTTATCACATTTTAAAGGTAGACATTATAAAAATAAATATTACTAAACGAATTTTCAAGAGTTTTGTTTCGTCAATTTTATAGAACACATCTCTTTTTTAAGCATATTATTATTGAATTCGGTGAATTCTGTCCCATGAAATTAAGCGATGAGATACATTCGTGGCGCTATCTGTTCGTTTTTTATCATAACATTTTAAAATAGTATTTTTTTTTTTTTTAATAACATAAATTTACCACCCTAGTGGTGTCTGGTAATCTAGTTGGTGTACATATTAGTACATTCTAATAAAATAACGCAACTTAAAAGAAATTATTTATTTATTTTATTTTATAAATCATTGATTTAACTCTAAAATCAGTTAAATATCAATAATTTAAGAACTTATAACGTTTACAAACTATCTTTATGAACTTGTTTTTGATATACTTCATGCGAGAGACAAGAAAAAAAAATTAGTAATTTTAAAAGACTTTAAAAATTAGCTCTAAAAACAATTATACAGTAGTTCAATAATTGTTATAAGCACTACTTAGTCCAAATATAAATTGTAAGATTTTTTTTTAACCACCAATAGTTAGTGTTAGTCTCACTATATTGGCGTTTTCGATGATCATTTTAATGCTTTTTCCTAGATAATACCTTTTTTTTTTCATTAGTTAAACCAAATAATGATGAATAAGTGTCAATTCATTTTTATTTTAGTATCACTCTCGAAAGAATGTCTTAAATCTAAAAAACTTAGCCACCGTCATATTATGTTAAGTCTATGAGATATATTTTTTTAGTATTATTACAGTTAGTTGAAAGTTATCATTAGGGATAGACACAAGTATTGATTAATGAAAATGACATTTAAATACTGTTAAGTTTTACCTTTGATAAACCTCAAATACGCCCAACACGTGATGACCATATTTGAATGATGGTAAACATGTAAAAATGTAACTTGGGACTGTTTTTTTCTTAAAACAAAGAAAATCTGTAAAAAAAAAAAAACGTTTCAAATATTAAAAATCGATTTATAATTATCTAATTTAATGTTGTTTTTGTTCTGTTATTTATAAATTGTATTTTTAGTAAAAATTGTTACATTATAGATTGAATAATTTATAATTTAAAAAATGTTTAGTGTTGTATATATGTCGCATCCATATCGCGTAATTGAACGTTTCGCAAAATGGATATAAACTTTGTCCATTTCATGAAATAAAAACGCTTTTTTTCCACTTCACATAATTCCACTATATGGAGAACATTTCATGAAATGGATACCTAAACTACACATAACGGAATTAGTTCAATCATATGGACAAACATTTAGCGTAACAATATTTGTAATCATATTTTTATTATTTTGTATATAATACAGAAATATAAATTCTGATTATGAATATCATAATGAATTAATAATTATGAAAATGATTAACTTTAAAATATGTAATGGAATATGAAAATTATGCATTTTGAACTATTTATATTTATTATTTGTTGAAACATAGAATAGAATTATTATGAAATATGATATCGAAAGTTAAATTTTTGATTATTTTGCATGTTTTACTTGCTTTAATTTGATAAAATTCAAAGAAGCCGGTTATAAACTTTCTACACTGACCAATCTTTAATAATTCCATGTTCAGTTTCCAATTAGTTCATATCATTTTTTTATTCAACCACTACTCTAATGATGTTCAATGGATCCCACGAACATCTATCCACCTTAGATACTGTAATGATCACACAGTATCTAACTTTAAATGTAGGTAGTTAAACGCTTCAATTTAGCTTAAAAATACGTAAAATATTATTATGGACAATCAAATAAGACACAAGGTAATTAACAACTGTAAGATAGGTAACAAGATACTTTCTAGACTAGAGGTACCGTGATAATTTTATAAATATATCAGCTAGTAATTATAAGATCACTATAGTAGTCAGTAGGTATTCTATAATCAGTATAATCTAAAATACCGGAATATTATAAAAATAATAGTTACTCTGATTTAAGTATTTTATACAAGCTAATTCATTTCATACAGAGCACAGTTTATAATATAGTTTGGATACACCTACATATTATAAATATTGCTACGCTAAGTGTTGGTTTAGATGCGGAACCAGTTCCGTTATGTGCAGCTTAGATATCCATTTTGTAAAATAATGTCCAGTTAGCGGAATTACACGAGGTGGAAAAAAATCGTTTGCATTTCGTAAAATGGATAAAAATTTTGTTCATTTCGCGAAACGTACAATTACGCGACATGGATGTGATATTTTCATAGTTAGAATATGCTATATTATTAGGCTAAATTTGTAAATAACACATTATTACAATAATATATAAACAATAATTGTGATAAAATAATCATAGCCTCACCGTATCCAACAAATCAATGACTTTGGAGATGAAAAAATACCATGAACCTTTATTCAACTGAAAAATAAAAATATAACATGAACACATAATTGTCACATATACGATATACGCTATAATGTTATAATATATATTTTCATTATTCATTAGGTACCTACTCGACCAACGATCCTAGCATTTTTAACATACATTTTCACGCTCTAATTTTTTTTTTTCATATATTATATAACATAGTATTAAAATTGTGGCGATGAAAGAAAATAATTAATTTGAGGAAATTATGTACACATTTTTTTCTTATTATTTCAATACTCAAGTTAACTGTGTACCTATCACATGATTATTAAAATCCATGTAAAATATTACTGTTGTGTGGAATAAATTTTATTTATTTATTTTAAATTTGGGTTATGGTGGAACGCTTTTTAATATGAATAATGATATATTATTAATTACGATTAAATGTTTTAGTGGAAAATTATTCATATTGAAATTCTTATTTAGTTTGAAACGAATACAGGGTGAAATAAACAGCTGATATGAAAGTATTTTTACCTCATACAATAAGAATTTATTTTTGCTTCTTTCAATTGGATGACATGAATGATTCCACATATTAGACAATCCTCCAGGTGTATAAAATATCTAAAAAAAAATACACACAAAATATAATACTATATTTAATGTATTAAATATTAATTCTAAGTAGACGAGTTCAATTTTCGTATTTTGTATACAAACTGAACAAATTATTTAAGAGCCTAAAACTAAAAATAAGATCATAAATACTTCAAGACGATCACGAAATTATTCCATGTATATTATGTATATATGAGAATTTAAGGTTAGAAATAAAATAACTATGAATATATTTCTATAAATATTTAGATATAGTTAGTAGTAGCATATTATATTATTTTAGATAATATTTTTATTTCTAAAACGTTAAATATTTTACTATTATAAATTAATATAAAAATAAAGTAATTATTTTCAAAAAAAAAAAAAAAAAATAAATAATTTATAAAACTTTATAAATCAAATTTTAATCTGAACTGACTTTTTTAATATAATTTCTAATCTTTAGCAGTAAATGTAATTTTATTTAGATTTTGATACAATTATTTTATAATTTAGACTTCATGTTTCTGAATTAGGCTTAATATCAGTTCATTAATTTATAAAAATTATTATTATTATTATTATTATTAATATTATTTTTTTTTTTGTTAACAGCTAATTCAATATAGTAAAGTTATTCATCAACTATTTTAAATTTTAAAAAAATAGCTAGGAGCTTATTTAATTATTTAAAATAAAGTTCAAAACTTTATTTTAAATTATAAATCAATTTTATAGATGATATTATTCGTTAAAAAGTTATGAAAAATGTCACAAAATATTAAAAATTAATCTGAATTAATGAATTTCAGTTAGTTATTTGATTCATGTTTACAAGAAAGTTATATAGTTATACATAGCTATATGGATGAGATGTGTTTGCTATACAAATTTTTTTTAAATTTTAGATTATTTTAAATAATGTATTTTAATAGTATTTAACTTACCAAATACAGTATAAATGCATTATAAGTTGTTTGAAAAAGATTGTAAGCTAACATTATGTGTTTGAGTCGGAATGGTTCACGGTTCTTCATCATGTCTGGACCGATTTTTAAAATGAATAATAAATAAACTGCTATAATGGAAAACACTGGCAATGGCGATTGCATTAAAAACCATGAGTCGACTTCGGTGTCTATAAGTAATAATTATTAATGTTTTTGAATAAACATTTAATGTAAAATAAAATTTATTTTGTCATTTTAATACATAAAATGGTTTGTATTAAAACAAAAATAAAGCACTTATTTAAAAATAGTAATATATACTTAGGTCTATAGATATAATAAGGTTTTTAATTAGGCAAGTTTTAATTGTTATCATTTCAAAACAAAATTGCGTTCGATGTAACATACATATCATGTATAATGTATATATACATTTTTCATTTTTACAATTTTTAAGTTTTTAATTTTTTGATTGACATAATTTATTATTAATTTGTAAGCTAGAGGTCGAATATATTTCAAAGCACTCCGTTAAATAAAAATCAAAATTTTAATGAGTAGCTAATTTATTATTATAAGTATTTTAAGTATTAATTAGTGGATAATTGGATTAACTTTTTGTGGGGTATCCATTAGCAACTCTATCACGTTTATGGAAATTTAAGTACTTTTAGCTTATTAATTATGCGTTCAAAATTAAATATTTTCGTATCAAAGTACTTCAAAACATACATTTCTTAGTAATATGACATTAAAAATAGTAAAATTAAAAAAAAAAAATAAAATGTTAAAATGTTAAAATGTCTTTAAAAAAAGTAAAACTTTTTAAAACAATAATTCTAAAAATTTATATCATATATGCAGTTAATCTAGTATATCTCAACATAGTCTGGTTTAGAATAAAGAAGAACTATTAGACCCTGAACTTTACCAAATGTATATCTCATATTAAGTTTATGTTACTTATCGTTAGACAACTTTAAATCAAAATAATAAGTGCAATACTCAATATATATATTATATATGGCAATAAAAATATCTGTAATTGTACTAACCGAATACTAATTCTTTCTCCAATAAGTTGAAAAACTGACTTTTGGCTTCCATGATAAAGTGACTGTCAGTTGTGTTCGCCATGATCGTTTATTGCTAGAACAATAAAATTATGAAAGTAAATGTTAAATGCATTTAATCCAGACTTTAATCCATGTTTAAACTACACTTTTGGAATCCTGAATTCTGATTGATATACAATTGTTTTAACCATATTAATCTTTTGATTAATATGTTAGTTTTATAGTATTATTAACCTTGAATGCGCTTGTCACATATGTTCAATGCCACATGCTGTACATAATGTACTTCCATCAAAAACTAGTTACTGTCAAAAGTCTGTCAATGATTGAACTATCCGTTTCAGGAACTGGTTATTGAAGTAAGGTCAATCATCAAATGCCCTTCTTTTTTTAATGTAAACACACCATAATGTTACTTCAAAGTACTAATATTTTACAATTACATCATGAATTATGTAGTTGAACGACTTGACAATTAAAAGCATAAGAAACATCATTTATACATCAATTTTATAGCAATTCAATGTTCGTTATATCAAAACAAAGTCCTAGATATTTAAACTACTCTAAGTCATTAGATTTACAAATTTCATTATACCGAATATGATTTTTAAAACAACTGTTATAATTATTTTATAAATATATTTGTTTACAGTTATTGCAATTTATATTAAATAACAGGGTTATTCTAAAAAAAAAAAAAAAAAATAAGGGTGTCAAAAATAAAATAATAACATTTTTTATAATTTTTTTTATTATTATCTATTAAATGTAATATATTATAATTTCTATTTATTAAACGATAATAGTATTTTATATGAAAAATAAAATCAAGTTAAAGAATTTTAAGAATATTAATTGTTTTAAGACTATTACCAATTTTGATTATTATATTGGTTATTATATTTTGTATTATAAAAATAAAAATCGAGGCGGTATCTATGTTGTATAGTAGGTATCAAGTGTATAATGTGTATCTAACCTTTTGACTGAGTAAGTAATTCTGATAAATATTTAAATTTAAATTTACTGATACATCATTGTAACGAAAAACGGTTTTGAGCAAAGTTAGTTAGGTAGCCTATATTTCTAAAGATATTTTAGTGTATAATATTGTTTTTATATACAAAGTATCTTGTTTATTACTACTAACAATATGACAGGTTGAACTATTTTTTGTTAAAAATCAATAACGTAATTTATTATATAGTAATTGTTGTAATATTATTATTTCGTAAAATAATTTTTCGTTTTATTAATTTATAAGTTAATAGGGAATAATAATGATCAATATTTTGAAAATTGTAATGTGTATAGTAAATAATAGTATAAGTAATAATGAAAAACATCAAGTTATTCCGAATAATGTTATTTTGAATTACGACAAAATAATTAAAATAGTTATTACCATTTAAATTTCAAACTTTGTTGACATTTAAACTTAAAATAAATATAAATTATTATTAAAACTGTGAATTTATAATTTGGAGATTTATAGGTCATAGTAAGAGAATTTTTTTATGAATATTTGTATCTCAGTTATGAATATTGAACATACATTTTTAACTACAAAATAATTTATTTTATTTTAGTAATTTTAACGAATTTTATCATAATTTGAATTTAAATTTAAATAATTTATTAACAAAAATTGTTTTTGTGTATTTTAGTTATTTTAATTTTTACATTTCTATAAGTATCTATTACTTATGTAGAATCTTATTTTAAAATTTTAAGCTTTTTAACTAAGCAAAACAGTTTTTATTGACAAATATAGAAAAATATAGTAATTTAATAAAATAATTATAAGAGTATAAATATAAAATTCTTTTGGGTTGCTTTATGAATTTAAAAAAAATGTTAGAAAATGCCAACTATTGGCTCAAAATATATATCAGATCAAATTTGCTGTAAGAAATTTCTCTTAAATTTGAAAACTTCTACATTTTTCAGTATAAAAGTTTCTTGAATAAATTTTAATATACCAATGACCTCATAAACTCAAAAAATAAAACATTCCACTGAACGTGGACAGCTAAGTATTAGAATCAAACACCGAAAATATTACACATTTGATAACCATCATAAGAAAAACTTGATTATAATTACAACAAACTTAGCTGTTTGATAATAATAGTGTCTGTATTTTATAAATCTATTTAAAATTATTATGAATTTATGATTATTGTATTATTATAGTATTAAATTGTTAATACATAACCAACTTTTTATTATGCACTCTCATTTAAAAACAAATATATTAACCTTTGTTGTTTATGTTTTTTTTTTAGTTTAGTAAAAAGAGTATCTTAAAAAACACACACATATATACGATTATAAAATCAATAAATCCGTTTAGAATAAAAAAAAATAATAATAATACTTATAACAGATAAATAACTTTTAAAATTAATCTATATTTATAATTTTGGTATGCATAAAATAAAAAATAATAATGAATTTTAAACAATATATTTGTTTTTATTTGATGTTAATACAAATTATAAGTTATAATGGAAAAATAATAATCCAAATAGATTTTTTTTTCTTTTTTTAAAAAAAAAAAAAAACAGAAAGCATCCATAGATTAAATAATTTCAATCATTATTCACTCACTCAGATTTGATGTGACTGTTGATTTCAATAGATGGATTGCAATCCGTCAATAGATGAACGCCTTAAAGTAATAATACGTTATGAAATTAACAAATTGTATAGTTCAAGTAGATCAATACCTAATGATTAGAATGGTCAACGAAGAACTGAATATAAATATTCAATTCTAAGGCATGATCACATTCATTTGGATTCACTGGTTTCATCTCAGGTACCTTGTGGCTGTAAGCCAGGTTTGGGGGTTCGAGGTGAACAGCACCGCAAAGTTGAGTTTTATTTGCCAGTAGAAATAGTAGACAGGAAAACATAAGCATTTGCAAGTAAACAAATACACATAAGCGAATCCTTGAAAAAAAGTTGAACTAGTTAAAACCATAAAATAAACTACATACTGTACATTATATATAAAATGTTTCGTGAGGAGCATCAAAAGTATTTCCGGCAAACTGATAAATAATCTAGTAGGTGAGCTATTATATAGATTAGTTAATTTCAACACATTTAAAATGACATTAGAGGTTATGTCAATCATTAAAAAAAATAAAAATTAAAATATATATGTTATTTTGCTATAAATTAGGTGCAATAGGAACAGTCATTATTTAGTAAGCTACTGTGATGGATGTTATATTTGAATTCAATGATATAAAACTGTATAAGAAAAATAATTTTGTGTCTACATCTCTAAAAATATTTGCTAAACTATATTAATGTACATAGTTACAAATTATAAGTAGTTAGTTTTTGTTGTAATTGTTTTCTAATTTAAATATCGAATTTAATTTTTAATAAATTTTTCAAAATGGTCAAATATATTTCAAAATATTTATACGATTAGTGAAATTACTGAAAAGAAAAAAAATAGAAAAATTATTAAAACTATTAAAGGATTATTAATAAATTAATATGTGAAAAAATAATAATTTACTAAAAGGTAGGCTAACATGAAACTTATGTGAATACTATACCACTAAAGAGTGGTATAGTAACACTTATATTTAGTTTAAATGCTCAACTTACAATCTAAAATTACGTATATATACTAGGTAATTAGCTAATATATTATAATATATTATAACATATTTATAAAGTGACTTATTACTTTTAAAAATTAAAATTATATATTATCTTATTTCAATAGGTTGTTTTAAAATATATAAAATTTGTTGATATATGTAGTATTTAAATAAAGATTTTATATTTATAGAAAATTAAGGAGAAATGTTATAGATAAATTAATGTTGATGAAAAATAAGCATGAATGTTTAAAACTTGTTAATATGATAAGTTTATGTAAGTTTAATATTATTCATAACATATTTAATGTTTTCAAAAGCATTGATATTAATTTTGAACGTTATTGAAGTTTTGAAGAAGTATTTATTGATAACGATATCGTGGTAAAATTTTTTAATCTAAGATAAAATGAATACATTTTAAAAGTTACATATTTTCATATAGAAGATAATGAGATTAAAATTAAATTAGTATTATAACTATATCTTATTTTTGAAATTGACAAAATTGTCTAGTAAACTAAAATTCAAAATAAGATAAAATTGTTTTAGTTGACTTCAGTCAAGTTTTATTCATTTTGTAGGTTTTAAAACTTTTGAAATTTGAAATTCTTTCTTAATATTTTTCATTTGTAGAAATAACTCGTTTCCTTTTGAATTTTAATATAGTTATGAAATCACTTAAACAGTTTCCTTGTACTATTTTGAGCGTTAGTTGATTATAATATCGGATGCAATCATTTTTTAAGAATTTATATAAATAATAAATATTTTATAGTTAGAATTATTTTATGAATAGGTATGGTATTTTATTATTCTATATTCAACCAAAATGTTTTGTTTATACATATAGAATTAATATGAACTATAATATATTCTTATGAACCAACCATATTTCAATATGAAACTACTAAAACATAAGAAGTACCTATTAACATTGAAATTTAGAAATATACACCTGAAGAAAATTATCTGAAATAAACATTGTATGTAGCTGTGCAGTACACAGTAGATGATACTTGGATTTATGTTGTGTCACAGTGACGAGTCGATGTTTTCGCAGAAGCTATCGGTGTTTGCTAAGTGTAAACTTGAACAATGTATATTGAACCCTAACATACACTGAATATGTGAATGTAAAACGGTATATATTTTTATGCAAATATATAAGCCACATATTATATGTTATATAGGTATACTATTGTCACTTATCCTTTTATTTTTAAACTGGAATAAAAAATATGAATATTTATTACTATTTTTGATTCATTATTTCCTTCAGAGTTCAGACAGTTGAATTCAAAATGATTCGTTGAACGAAAAAAAAATAGCCATTAACAGACATATGAGTGGTAGTGAATTTTATTGAGTATTCTCAATACTGTTTAATCATAATATAATATTTTTATTTATATAACAAAAGTACTTAATAATTTAATCGTCTTCAACAAAAATAATAGTTACATTCAATAAATCCCAATTAGACATTTTTATTTTCTTTAGATTCTTTTTAATGTTTATTAATATATAAAAGATAATTTTTGAAGAAATCTGTTCCAAAATAATAAATACTTTAAATTTACAAGATTTCTTGAGAAGACTTGATCATTTTATGAAATTGATACTATTATTATTATTTAACCCATTGACTAAGTATCTTCAATAATGTTATTAAATATGCATTTAATTTTTTTTTTTTAATTTAAACCATATAATGGTTTTTAACATTAAATCATATTTCATGTATATGCATAAATACATTATCATAACTATTAATAATTATATTAAGTACCTATTTAAATAATACAATTTATTAAACAATCCATAATATTTCTATATCAGTTTTAAATTTTTAAATACCTATTATTTTTTGAGAAAACGTATATTTTTTTATAGACAATTTTATGAAAAAAAAATAATAAAGGTAATATACGTTTTTACGATAAATATTTATATACTTTAGTCGTTGATTTAAAATCAAAGCATAATATGATTACCATTTTTGGTAATATTTAAACCATTTCATGGCATGTGAAGGGAGTACTATATTTGAAATATTTTTCTTATAGAAATGATGAAGATTGGTAGCCACTTGAACTAAAATTTTGAAACTAAAAAAACAAAGATCACCCTTATATGTGTGTGTGTGTGTGTGTGTGTGTGTGTGTGTGTGTGTGTTTATTTAAGTTGATTGTATTTTTAGTTTTTATTTTTATGCTGAATAATGTCAATTAGCTTATATTTGTGTTGGAAAGAAACTTATTTATACTTATTGTAGTTCTTTATGTTTTTTTTTTTTTCATTCAGATATTTAAATTCCATTATACATTTTAAGGCTCTGTTAAGAGTGTTAATATTATATTAATGTTATTGTTGTGAATCCGTTAAGTAGCTTAATAGTGCCAAAAGTATAGAGGCGAGCAATCTTTACTGTTGTCTTATACTTCATGTATTTTATTTGAATACGTTTATAATAATATTGTGAGTTGAAATCTTTATATTTTATACAAAGGAATATAATTTTTAAATGTTTAATTATAATATATGTACACAACTACTGCAACATACTATAACAATCGTATTTAGTGCACACACACACACACACACACACACACACACACACACACACACACAC